TTAAATAAACTGAGTGGCCAAGATGTTGGAAGACCCTTTATGTGTTTATCAAAACTTCTAACAAATAAGACAGCACTGTGCTGGACACTGGGTGGTCACGAGGAATGTGGGAACAAATCCCTGTGGGAGAAGGGGTGCAGTTTGGATACAGCCGCTCCACCTGGGGGCTACAGGAAAGAAGCTGAGATTTGAGGAGACTTCATAAAGAGGAAGGCAGGCCAGGTGGGACCGTATTGCTTGAGGACACCAGGAAGAACCCGAGAAGCCAGCCCCAGGCCCAGGCGCCCCTGAGGCACCGCCTCCAGCTCCCTGCCATGGGTGTGCACCCCCACACACACACACACCACGGTGGGGCCTCCTCGGTCAGCTCTCTGGCCCCCGGGCCCAGTGGCCCTCTCACTCAGAGGGTCAGATGAAACGTGCTGATGACTGGCTCAGGACCTCACACGTCTCCTCCTGTGGACTGGCCAGGTATTCCCCACCCTCTCCTCCTCTGCTCCCCCAGCTGCCCAAGCCAGGAATAAGAATGCTAGCCTGGCCTGCACCTGTCCATCAGCAAGACCCTTCCACAGTCTGGGCCGCCAGTGGGCCTCTCCTCCCTGCTTCGACTGTGTCCTAGACAAGCCGGATACCCTCTGGCTTGCAGCGGCCTCCTCACAGAGCTCCTTCTGTTGAAACCCTTCAATGCTCCCCACTCCCCCTGACAAAGTCCAGCTCCCCGCACAGCTCACAGCACACCTGGCCAGCGCTGCCTGGACTCCCTCCCTCGTTCCTCACTCCACCCGCCACGGGTCTGACCACAAGCAGCGCAGAAGGCTGGCTGTGAACGTCACTGACATTAAGTATTGCTCTCCCAAGGTAGAGAACAGACATAGGCATTTTAAAACTTATATTTAAAATAAGTCAGAAAAGCTAAAACTAAATTATCAATAATCACTATTTTTATGCTCCACTAAACAGAGGAAAGAATAATTTTACCTGAGTTGGCCACGTTTTTGCTCTAAAACCCTACAGGACTCTTAACAAAAACAGAGTCTGTTGCTATGGCAAGTGTGATCTAGAATTATGAATAAAAACTCAATCATCAAATGTGAGATTTAACTAATACCATTAAAAAGTATTTTTCTTAGGCCAGGCATGGTGACTCACGCCTGTAATCCGAGCACTCTGGGAGGCTGAGGCGGGGGGATTGCTCAAGGTCAGGAGTTCGAAACCAGCCTGAGTGAGACCCCGTCTCTACTAAAAATAGAAAGAAATTAATTGGCCAACTAATATATATAGAAAAAATTAGCCGGGTATGGTGGTGCATGCCTGTAATCTCAGCTATTGGGAGGCTGAGGCAGCAGGATTGCTTGAGCCCAGGAGTTTGAGGTTGCTGTGAGCTAGGCTGATGCCACAGCACTCACTCTAGCCTGGGCAACAAAGCGAGACTCTGTCTCAAAACAAAAAAAAGTATTTTTCTTAAAATATCTTCTAATTTTCTTAAGGTTTCAATTATGTTTTCACCCTTTAGAAGATAAGTCACTGAAAACACCACACGTGCATTTTCCTGGTGAGCCGCAAACACCCCGCCGCAGGCACACCCTAACCCGTCCAACCCGCACCTTCCCTGGGCACAAACCTATCATTTCCTAATGTGTCAGTTTCAATTCAAACACCTTTTCTGCTTGATAAACTAGAAATGTCAAGGGCAGGTCAGCAACTTTTAAAGCTCAAACTTCAAGGTTCGGAAATTGGAAGATGGATAAAAACAGAAAGCTGAGCGTCTAAGGGCAACTCTTGAAACCTCAGGCTAGGTCAAAATTATTGCATGATGCCTCCTTCCAAAAAAGCTGTTATTTCTATTAACTTTAAAATACCAAGCCATTAATACAGAACACTGGCCATAACCACAAAGATTTATTCTCAAGATCACAACCACTTGGGTGGAGTCTAAAACAGCATGCCACTCGTTATGACTAAGCACCAAGTCACCACAACAAACAGGTTAAGAAATGCACAGCTTTCAGCAACCGCACAGCTTTCAGCAACTGCACAACTTCCATGTCACCTTTGTAGTTTGGTAAAGCCATAACATAACAAAGTTTACAGCACTTTTACTTTCAGGCAGTAAGCAGGCTCGGCAACGACAGCCGTCGTGGGCGCACACTCACCTGAGAGCGTACGTGTAGCCAGAGTTCTCCGGCACACACTGCGGAGGGGTGTACATGTGGAGCCGAGAAAAGTCCATGTTCACGACCTCAGGTCATACTGCAGAAGGTGGAGAAAAAGGCAATGCACAGTGTTTAACAGGGCTAGAAAATACACACAAGTCCCAACTGTTTGAGTCAACCTGTGTTACACACATAAGACTAAACGTCACAGTAAAAACTAATGAAAAAGCCAGCAGTCGTGTTTCTGAATTTTTTTCGGACAAAGGAGACAGGTTTTTCATAGTTTGAAGTCCAAGAACACTTCTGTTACATTCAGTGCCTAATATAACGTATCCATGAAAACGTAACAAGGTGAAAGGCTTGACTTTCACCAGACTGACTACTTACAATTATGAAAGCTGGAGCACTCTCAAAGAAATATTGAAAGTAGCTCAGAACCCTTTTCAAAATGTATTTTTAAATTCTTGAAGGTGTCAAAATGTTCCTAGTCTTTTGAAATAAATTATTATTATTAAGCAAAATAAGAGCTGATTCTTGTTCCACGGCCAAAAAGCAGCACTGCACTCTCCCAGACAAAAACTGTCACCAGCACCTCAGAGTCACAAACAAACTGCAGGATGGATAATAAAGTCAACACACTGTTTACACTTTGTCCCCCACAAGTAAACATAGATTTTTAAGAAATGATAAAGTATTGAGCATACTGTTTCTTAGATTGTCATCTAGATTTCTTTGGAATGACTCAAACTTTCCTCTGGCTAAAAATATCCAAACATAATATACTCCAAATTAAAAAAAAAGTCCTCTTAGTAATAATGTTAATCATAATCTATTGTTGAAAAGCATAAGGAAGATAAAACTAAAAACAAAGAACATCCTGGATAAAAAATATGTATGTATAAATGACTGAAGTCTATAAACTAAGCCAAGAGTACATCGATTCTTAACACTTTCTTTGAAATAGCCCGAACAGTCTTTTAAAAATTAGGCCAGGTACAAAATTGGCTCACACCTGTAATTCCAGCACTCTGAAAGGCCGAGGTAGGAAGATTGCGTGAGCTCAGAAGTTCCAGACTAGCCTAAGCAAGAGTAAGACTCGGTCTCTACTAAAAACAGAAAAATTAGCCAGGCGTGGTGGTGCCTATAGTACCAGCTACTTGGGAGGCTGAGGAAGGAGGATTGCTTGAGCCCAGGAGTTTGAGGTTGCAGTGAACTATGATGACACCATACCACTGCACTACAGCTTGGGCAACACAGAGAGACCCTGTCTCAAAAAAAAAAAAAAAAAAATTAAGCACACATAGAAGTAAAGACCACTACTTTTTTTTTTTTTTTTTGAGACAGAGTCTGACTTTGTTGCCCAGGCTAGAGTGAGTGCTATGGCGTCAGCCTAGCTCACAGCAACCTCAAACTCCTGGGCTTAAGCAATCCTCCTGCCTCAGCCTCCCAAGTAGCTGGCACTACAGGCATGTGCCACCATGCCTGGCTCATTTTTTTCTATATATATTAGTTGGCCAATTAATTTCTTTCTATTTATAGTAGAGATGGGGTCTTGCTCTTGCTCAGGCTGGTCTCGAACTCCTGACCTTGAGCAATCTGCCCACCTCGGCCTCCCAGAGTGCTAGGATTACAGGCGTGAGCCACCCCACCTGGCCTGACCACTATTTACACATAACAATTCTACTACTCCTACCCATTTCAAAAAATATCACAAAACACTTGTATTAAAAATTTTTTTTCAAAATTCTTCAGTTCTTTTCAAAGACTGAAAAGAACTAGCCCACAGACTCTACCCAGAACATACATTCAACAAGTATAATTCATTATTATTTGGCTTTGTGATAATTTATACTTCAACGTCTTTTTGCAAATAAAATTGACTAATCCATGTAATGTTTAATACCTGTTCAACGGCCTTGACCTCTCCCTTGTCTACTTGACCCTAACTACAACATCTAAATGCAGACTGTGCCCCCCACACACACAGAGGAGCCACCCTCTGGCCTCTGGCTCTCCAACTATGGGCTGCCCGGGCTCTTTAAGGGCACCCAAGGCTCGGCTCATGACCCTGGCTTACACTGTCACCGAGGAACAGAGCCCCAGCTGCTATGTAACAATGGGTTCTGACAGGGCTCCTGTTTAGTGACAACTTACTCAGCAACCACCCAGTGCTGGGCTCAGAAGCAGTGTGACACCTCTAGGGTGGACGCGGGCTAATTCAGGACTGGGCAGCCAGGCCCGAGAACAGGAAAGCAAGAAAGGGGGCAGTGAGGAAACAATGTCACACTCACAGGTCAGCAGCAGCTGCGGCAGAGATGGGAAGCAGAAAGCATGCGATTATAGACCCTTAATCTCTCTCCATCATTCCAATTTCGCTTTCATAATCGCATGGATTTTAAGTTTATGTTCTCCAGTGAAACACAGAGAAGTATAAAACTGTGTGCAAAGCTTGACTTTCCGTTTCTTCATACCTCAAAACAAGGAAACAGCCCCTTAGCCCATCTGATTCGGCCCCAGACTTACTGGATCCCAGACAGGTCCAGGGAACCTACTAGCCATTACTTCTCAGCCCCGACAGGTGCAAAAGGCCAAACGTGCAAAGCAGAAGAACCTCAGAAGGAGGCAGAGCCAGAGGCTGTGACAACCGGACCCAGGGTCTGAAGACGGTGCTCAACACGCCCTTGGCTACCTATGCAAGTGGCAGGGCTGGGTGACAGGAGGAGGGGAGACCACTCCCAGCACTAGCATGTGCCAGTTCCCCACACACAGGGAGGCCCTCCTCCTCCCATCTCATGCCTTCCCTCCCTCCTCCTTCTCCCTTAACAGACCATGACATTTTAAATTTAATCTTTAGTCCTCTACAAACTGGGTATTAAATAAAATTGTAGGCTAAAATAACGTCAAAGAAAGGAATAAATGAAATCCTGCCTGCAAGGCAGTGCCTGACAGATGACACATACTCTGATGTTCACTACGATTATCCCACGGAATAAGGTATATGGCCTGTGTTTTTAATTTTTTTAAATATTGTTTTTCCTTTCGGTTTAGCAATCCCTGAGATGGAGTACTCATTCACCCCTGCCCTAAATAAAAATCACAAGCCGGGCATCTCACAGCAAGTCACTACCTAACAGCAAAAGTGCTGTGGTGACACAGGTCTATGGATGACTAAAGTAAGTGCTTAGCATTTTCAAACCGACACTGCTACTAATTAAAGCCCAAAATGTAACATGAGAGCCTTCTTCTTTGTATCATGCCCAGCAGGGGAGGCTGCCTGGGTTGGTCCCAGTCTAAGTGACTCAAGGGAGACCTGATTTGCATTAATAATCTGAACAGTAATGAAACAGTTAAGTGAAAAAATGGACTGGAAATGTTTTCGACTGCATCAGAAACACTTGGAGAGAATCTTAAGTCAGCCCTGTGTACAGATGTGCTATGAGGAAAGGCCTTGGATTTTGCTCCCCGCCTGCCCAGGCCCTTCCTAGCTGCCCTGTGCCTAGTGCTGCCCCGGGGTGAGCCTGTAGAAGCCGTGTTCCTTGTGCATGCGCCAGACTACAGGAAGGACACGGGCCAACTGGGACCCAGGTTCGTGCAGGATGCAGAGATGGGAGCTGGGCCTCAGAGAGCTGGTCGGCAGGCTGGCCAGCTCAGGTGCCACCACGGTAACTATGGGAGGAACCCCCTGGGGCTGGTCGGAGAGGGCTCCTGTAGGACAGGTGGGGGAAGACCCAGCATCACTAGAGACGCACACACCTCGGGAGACAACAACAAACCCTATGACTCACATCCGAAGCTTCCCCTCAGAAAACATCAACAGGAGTCGTCACTGATCCAAGGGAGGGACACACAGGCCCCTCCCCGGCAGCTCTCCAGGAAGCCCCATTCACCACAAGCCCCACGCCCTGGGGAGCTCATGCCCTGGGGAGCTCTGAGCCGCAGCCCAGGCCGTCCCGCCTCCCACGGGCCAGGGTGGACCCTGACTCTACCTACCTGGGCTTCACCTGACCCTTCCCTCAGGGACCTTCAGAGAGACACAGTGCACACCCACACGCAAGTGTGTACACACGTACACACACACACACACACACACACACACACACACACACACACAAACATACAGACGCTTGTTCTAACTCCGCCCTCTCTAATCCTTAATCACCCCAGGGCTTGGTTTTCAAATGGCAACTAGGCCAGTTATCGGGTGGTTCATTTAGGTCCATTGTAAAGAATTTCTTTTAAAACTAAAATTCTGAGGTGCTCCTTTAAACATCACTACTAAATCTTAAAATAATTATTGTGCTTAGACCTTAATCCTGTTAAAACTAAATGATGTAGAGACTAATACAAACATTATTTTCCTTACAGATTTAAAACAATCAGAAATTGAGTTAGAAATGAATGCTGTCTGAAGACCATGCTCAGTGTGATCACGTCTACAACGTGACACACAGAAGCGGCACTGCGTCTCTAATTCCATTCTGAGGGAGCAAAACAATGTTAGTTTATGAAAAACTGATGATTTATGAACTTAAATACAGCAAATCAGAAACAAATGACTATAACCTAAAAATATTTAAAAGGGCTTTACAGAATGCTACTTTTTTATATATATACACATACACAACCACATGAATATGTTTTTAAATTTGGTGGTAAATTCTGGGGAAAGGGACTTCTACTTCTTATTTAGCCCTTACTGCATTGCTTGAAAATTTTTTGAAAGAGTAGCTATTGGTTTTCTAATTTGAAAAATTAACCCAATAAATATTATTTTCAAAAAGAAACAAATTTCATCTTCACTTGTGAGTAGTACAGGGCAGCCAGACCTCTTGGATTCAATTTAAGCTCTTCCACTAAGTTAAGTTAGCTGTGAGAACCTGGGGGCAGCAGGTGCTCCCCGACTGCAGAAAGGTAGTGGTGGCAGAGCCTCCACCTGCCTGCTGGGGGTCGAGTCAAGCAATGCACCTGCACCAGGCCTGCTCAACGCTCCTCCTAGGGCAGGCTGTCAGGAGCAGGTCTGTACCGGAAGTTTCTAGCCAAGATGCAATCAATGTTCCTTTATTTTTTATTTATTTATGACAATCTGTGGGCTGCATGTCAAATCTTGTTATGTGAATATAACATGCAGCGATCAACTTGGGGTATTTAGGGTGTCCACCACCCACGTGCAATACATTTGTGTTAAGTGTCATCACCCTACTCTGCTCTCCAACACTGACACCTACTTCTGTCTTGCTGTGTCTTTGGCCACTTCTCTCCATCCTCCCCTTATGCCCCGCTCAGCTGTCCCAGTTTCTTATCTCTACTTTTTTTGGAAATGAGAAACAGCAGGAAGAGGTACAGGCTGGATGGGTTTGTTTACATCAGGAAAACAGCTCTGCGTGCTAAGGAAGACCATCCCCATGAGAAGACTGAGTATCTCAGGGATATCTCCTAATGGTAAGAGCTCTAGATCTTCTTCACCAAAACCCTGATTCCTCTTACAGTGACAGTCACACTGTTTCAGCAAAAGCCCAGCATCAAGTTTAGTTTGAAACACAGAAACATCAAATAATTTCTTTTTTTGTATTTGCTTCACCCTAGAGTGCACTAAATTTCCTCATAGCCAGTACAATTAGAGGGCTGCCCACGTTATTTCTACTGGAAAGAACTTGTCTACAGCCAGTGGCCACACCCAAAAGCACTCCTCCTACACAGTGCTAGATCCCCAGAGGCACTGTGACAGCTTTTAATTTGCATTTCTTTAGCTATCAATGACTCCAAACATCCTTTTGCGTCCCTCTAGCTGTATTTTTACCCCATGAGGAGATCTGCCTTTTTCTCAGTGTTTTATAGGGCCACACACACACAAGGGTATTAACTTTACACACCCCAAACATGCCCGGGACAGCCTGTCATGCACAGTGTCTGGTCCTTCCCTGAGCTCAGAATACGTGAACTGGCTGCCATGCATCCTGCCGCTCTTGCTGCTTTGACTTTTACATTTCAAGCCATTTATAATTTATTTGTCCATCTGTAACTCAAGTTTGTACACAAGGAGGCAAGCACTTGGCTTTATGCTGACCATTTCCACTCAGATTCACACAACCAAGTCACCCTGGCCTGCTCCACCCCTGTCTGCCCACACATGCCATCTCTTGCTGGCTCCTGCAGGCGCTGACTCTCTGGAGCTCCAGTCTTGCCCCTGCAAGCCCATCCTCACCAACAGAACCTGAATGACGATCTCGCTCCCTCCAACTCCTGCTATGGCTCCCTGAAAACAAGTGGCCCTTGTCCAAATGTCCCCAGCTCACACAACTCCCTCAGGGTCACCCTGGCTGCAGGGGTCCTCTCTGCTCTTTCCTTGTGGCATGCGTCCTCTTGTCTGGGGTGCCCTCTGCATTTCCTGACCCTCTTCCCCATCCCCTTGGTCTAGTTACACCCTAAACTCTGCCTGGCCGACTTCTCCTTATCCTTAGCTTTCATCGAGATGCTACCTCCAGGAAGCTCCCTCAAAACTACCCCTACCCCACCCGTTAGTGCCCATGGTGCCCACGCCGCCGACCACTTAACACAAACCGTGGTAATTATGTATTAATGACTCCTTCTCTCCAGCTGGACCTTGGAACTCTGAGAGCAGCAACTGTGCCGTGGTCACCTGCAGACCTAACCCTCACTTCCAGAACAAACGGCTCTGCATGTGCCTACACAGCAGGAGGGACACCGCCCTGCACCTTGCCTTAGCTGCCACTGAGCTGAACACTCCTGCACCCCCACCACTCTCTGCTCCCTGTCCAACTACACCCCAGAAAATCATGCCCAAAGTGCTACAAGAATTTATGAAAAGCCATACGAGTCATGTGTACTTGGGCTCTCTTTGTGCCTTCGCCTAGTAGAATAAGCTTTCTTACATTTCTTCATCTAGTAGAACAGTCATGTTGGCTGTCTCATTCCCAGTTGTGACTGGTGCTGCAACAGACATCCACGCCATTCCCAAGTCACCCTTTAATGCTCTGACAGACGTCCACACTGTTCCCAAGTCAGCCTTTAAGGGGCTCTGTCTTTCCCACATGAAGTGTCAGGCTAAAGGTGAGCATTTTCCAGTTTGGAAGAGGTTCATAGCATAAAAATAGCAAGTAAGAAACACATAACTTGATCTGTTTTTCATATTCCATTTATAGCTTACATCTTCCAATATTGTTAATTTAAGATCAAAATAAAATAAATAGAAGGACTAAGAACAAGGCAACCAGAGAAAGGGCTGCTCTGTTTTCAAACTACACATGCCCAGGGAGCCTCTCCCTCCCGCTGGGAACCAGCGAACCAAACATCTGGATGTGATCACTTCCACCCTGCTTGTCTGTGACCGGCAGTTTAATTCTGCACAAATGTCAAAAAACGCCTGTCGCACAAACCTCACTGCCTGAACTAAAATTTACAACCTACAGCCACTCACTTATTCAACTAGATGAAAACAAAAGCACCAACCTAACAAGTATGCTTAATTACAGATACAATTTAAACTGTAAGAACTGAAGAATTATACAAGTTGCTTAATGGGGTAGAGTCAATTGTAATATCTGATTATAATAAATAATACATAATTAGCAGCAACATCATGTTCTCTGTTTTCCACCTGTCATCTCCAAATTTATTTTGGCCCAGTGGATGAAAACTGCTTCCAACACAGATCCAGCAGGTCTAGTCTCCTCTATCCAAATACCAAGGGGGTAAGCAGTCCAAAATAGCAATTAGTTCCAAATTTAGGAGCAAGAGGAAGAAGGAAACTAGAGCACATTTTCAACCAGTAAGTGTTAATGCAACGCTCCAGCAGGCAGCAACGGCACAACTACTCACTGAGCAATCGCAGCTGCAAGTTGAGTACAGCGTCACAGTGCTCCACAGCCCAGACTGTCTTGTTTCCAGCCTGCCTTATGAGCACAGATGCGGGAACACCCTCTGATTTGTTCAGGACCACGTGGGCTGAATAACCAGGCGGCTTTATAAGGCACACTACAATTCCCTGGACTCTGGTTCACCCTGAAGCATGAGCACACTGAAGGATGTGGTGTCACCCTGTCACCACCTCTCCTAAAACATTGCATGGCATTTACTATTCATTTAAAGCCCATTTACATTGGCTTTATTTTCAGAATCTGGAAACACTATTAAGTGGACTGTTCAGGAGATCATTTGATTATCATAAATTCAGGATCAGAAACAATGGTTGTGACCTGACAACACACTCCATAAAATACCAGCATTCTTTGGAAACAGGTCACCCATGAATTTCCAGTTAAAAATGATGTATTGAACATAGATGTTAGCTTTCAGTCTCTTGCAGGCACCCCTTTGAAAAGGGGTTACTTTTTAAAGGCATATATTAATGAGAGCACAAAGGGAGAGAATAGAATAGCAAAAAACTTCTGGAAGCTAGACAGAAGAATGAAAACTGACTCAGGCCAGAAAAATGTGAATTGTAAACCTGCAATGGGACCGATGAGACACAATCTAATTTTCATCATGGAACCCTCAAAAGGCTCAAGAATTAGTGGCACCTGTGTACATTTGGAAGTAAAAGTGTAAGATAGAACCAAGATACAGGAGGAATTGAATACTGAAAGTCTGTTTAAGCAGCAGTTAGGTAATACCACATGATCATCTCAATTGGTGCAGAAAAAACACCTAGCAAACCCCAACACCTTTCATGATGAAAACACTCAACAAACTAGGAAAAGAAGGGAACTTCCTCCACACGATAAAGAACATCTATGAAAAAAATCTACAGCTAACACCATATTCAAAGGTGAAAGACTGAAAGCTTTCCCCTAAGAGCAGGAACAAGACAAGGATGCCCACTTTCACCACTGCTATTCAACACTGCACTGCAAGTGCTAGCCAGAGCAATTAGTCAAGAAAAAAGAAAAAAGGGGGAAAAAGGCAAAATGGAAAGGAAAACGTACAACTACCTTTATTCTCAGATGACTGATCTCATATATAGAAAGGCCTAAATAATCCACCAAAAAACTGTTAGAATAAACAAATTCAGCAAAGTTGCAAGATCAACACAAAAATCAGTTGCATTTCTATACACTGGCCATGAACAATCTGAAAGTGAAATTAAGAAAATAATTCCTTTTACAATAACATCAAAAAGAATAAAAAACTTAGGAGTAAATTTAATCAAAGAAGTACAAGACTTACACACTAAAGATGGCAAAACACTGTTGAAAGAAATTAAAGACCTACGTAAACAGAAAAACATGCCATGTTCATGGATATAAAAACGTAATATTGTTAAGACGGCAATACTACCCAAATGCTGTACAGAGTCAATATAATCTCTATCAAAATCCCAATGGGGCTTTTTTGCAGCTATGGAAAAGCTCACCCTTAAATTCCTATGGAACTGCAATGGGTCCCAAATAGCAAAAAACAATCTTAAAGAAGAACAAAGTTGGAGGACTCGCACTTGCCAACTTTGAAACTTACTACACAACAGTATGGTACAGTGTAAGAACTGACATACAGACAACAGAACTGAGAGTCCAGAACATCAGTGTACATCTATGGTCAACTGACTTTGACAAGGGTGTCAACACCACTCAACAGGGAAAGAACTCTCTTCAACAAATGATGCTACAACAATTGGATTTCTACATGCAAAATAATGAAGTTAGATCCCTACCTCACACCATACACAAAAATGAACTCAAAATGGATTAAAAGCCTAAATATAAGACCTAAAATAATAAATCTCTTAAAACATAGGGATAAATCTTCATGACCTTGGATTTAGCAAAGGATTCTTAGGTATGACACCAAAAGAAAAAAAAATAGATAAATTGGACTTCAACAATTTGTGCATCAAAGGATACTATCAAGAGTGATGAGACAACTCAAAGAATAGGAGAAAGTACATTAATCATATATCCAATGAAAGTCTAGTGTCCAAAATATATAAAGAACTCTTACAACTCAAGAAAAAGACAATGCAACTTAAAAACAAGGAAACAACCTGAATAGACATTTCTCCAAAGATACACAAATGACCAATAAGGACACGAAATGATGTTCAATGTCATGAGGGAAATGCAAATCAAAACCAAATGAGATATCACTTCACACCCACTAGGATAGTCATAATTAAAAAAAAAAAAAAAGGAAGAAAATAACAAGCGTTGGCAAGGATGTGGAGAAAGTGAAGCTCTCACACACTGTTGGTGCAGCCACTATGAAAAAGTCTGGCAGTTCCTCAAAAAGCTAAACATAGTTACATAGGACCCAGCAACTCCATTCCTGGGTATATACCCAAAGAATTGAAAATGAGTGCTCAGACTCATAACACAAATATTTATAGCTGCATTACTCAAAATAGTCAACAGGTGGAAAACAACCCAAACGTCCATTAACAGATGAACGGATAAACAAAACAGTATATCAATATACAACGAAAATTTATTTAACCATAAAACGGAATGAAATACTGGTACATGCTATAACATGGATGAACACTGAAGACACTACCTTAAGTAAAAGCAGCCAGATGCAAGGGCTACATATTGTATGAGTCTATTTATATGAAACATCCAGAACAGGCACATCCAGAGACAGAAAGCAGAGTAGTGGCTGCCAGGGGCTGGGGAGAAAGAGGAGTGAGACTGACTGCTCAGTGGGTACGGGGTTTCTGTTTAGAGTGATGAAGAAGTTCTGGAACTAGAAGGTGGTGACGGTTGCACAACACTGTGAATATACTTAATATAATACCACTGAACTCTACAGTTTAAAATGGTAAATTCTGTGTGTATTTTAATACAATAAAAAAACAGGTGAATGAGAAGATACTGCATTTATAAAGTACGAACATGTTGCTAAATTTGAGAGGAGAAAAAAAAGAGGTCTAGGAAATTTAAAACATGATGGCCAAATTAAAATGCTAAATAGATGAACTGGAAGAAAAGATTAAGGAAAGCTCCTAGAAAGTGGAACAAAAATGGAAAATAGGAGAAATAAAGACAAGAAAATTAGCACACCAGCCCAAGAGGTCCAATGCCCAAATAACAGCATTTCCAAAACGCGCAGGAAAAAAGTAAACAAAGAAGAGGAAATTATTATGGAAATAACTTCAGAAAATTCTCCAGAACGAACGATCAGGAGTTTCCAGAATTAAAGGAACTATGGAGTAGCCAAAAAAAAAAAAAAAAAACAGACGAAAAGACATCAAAACACATTTCTGCACACCGAAGGCAGCGGGAGAAAAAGCAGATTGTACAAAGGATCTCACACCAAGGATTAGAATTAGAGCAGCACAGCATTTCAGTAGCACTGCTCAGAGTGAAAAGACAAAATTAGGAGTTTTCCGCCGGAATCACACCGCCAGGCGAACCAACGACGACGCGCCCCGGGAGAGCAGACCCCTTCCGACCGCCCGAGCCCGGCCTTACCGCCCAGGGCCGCGGGGACGACCACGACAGCGGCAGTGACCGCGCTGTCTCCACCCGGCAGGTGCCCCGGGCCCGCCCCGCCCCCGGCGCGGGGTCCACACCCGCCCGCGCAGCGCGCCCGGGGACTGGGCGGCAAAGGCGCCCCGCGACGGGACACGCGGGGCCGGGACGCTCGGCATTCCGAGCCCGGCCGGGGCCCCGCGGCCGAGACCCGAGAGCGACCCCTGCCCGCTCTTCCCCCGAGAACGGCCGCGGCGGAGGAGGGCGCGGGCCACAGCGGAGGGCGGAGGCGGCCGTTGGAGGACCAGGCGGGCCCGCGGCTCCGCTCGTTCCCGCCGGCCCGGCCCGCAGCCCGCCCTGAGGGGCTCTCCGGGCCCCAGCTCCCGCCCGAGCCCGGGCCCCAGCGACCCCCACCGCGACCCTCGCCTGGGCCGCCCCACCGGACCCTGTGGGCCGCCAGCACTCACCTGCTCGTGCCGCCGCCCTAGGCCTCGTCCGCGCCGCCCAGGCCCAAGAGGACGCGAAGCCTGCGCCAGCCAATCGCGCGCCGCGCCCCGAGCCAGGGCGGGAGCAATGCAGACGTTCACCAATCCCGAGCTCGCGACTTGAAGCTCCCTGGCCAATGACGGGGCGGCTGCTGGTCGCGGGAGCCGCGGACGGGGAGGGGCCGGGGCCGCGTCACCGGGCGGGGCGGCTTCAGGGGGCGCAACCCGAGGAGGGGCAGCACGCCTGAGGCCGGTCCCCGCCCAGCCCCTGGGTCTTTGCAGCCAAAACACTTGGCTGTTTGCACCTCCCGCGCCGTGGCTCAGGAGACAGCGGCAGTCTGCGGAGCCTCGGCCTGCGCGCGCAGCCTCCCCTGCTCCGCAGCCCCCAGGCCCACTGCATGCTTCCACGCCGTTCCTCTGCAGCCCCCCGGGCCCACCGCCTGCCACCAATCCCCTGCCCTGCAGCCCACCGCGTGCCCACGCCCCTCTGCTCTTCAGCCCCCCAGCCCCACCACGTGCCCGCATCCCTCTGCTCTGCAGCCCCCCAGGCCCACGACGTGCCCCCACCCGGTTCCTCTGTAGCCCACCAGGCCGGCCCACTGTGTTATCCTTCCCCCTCCAAGCCGCAGGCTCCCCCTAGGGGCCCCTGTGCACCGCCCCGGCCCCCAGGCCCCCAAGACACTCTCTTTGGACCGCACTAGGAGAAAGCTGGATGCACCTTCTGCTCGGTCTGGCTGGTTGCAGGGCTGGCTTTTCCTGCGTGGAATTCACAGGTTTCCTTTTCCACGTGCTGGGAAGTGCACCAAAGATTGCAAATATCACTTTGCTCTTTGCATGTTTTAACTGAAGTATAATTTAAGTAAGGTAAGATTCACCTTTCTAAAATATGTGGTTCACTGTGTTTTGACAAATATATACAGCTTTGTGACTGCCGTGGCAATCAAAATACAGCACGTTTCCTTCTTACTCCCAGAAAACTTCCTTGCCCAGGCCCACTCACTAATTTGTGGTCCTACAGCTTTCCCTTTTCCAGGAGGTTTGTAAACGCAACCATAGATGCAGCTTCCTGAGGCCAGGTTCTTCACTTGGCGTGTTCATCCATGTTGCTGCATGTGGATGTTCTTACTGCTGAGCAGGGTTCCACGTTCCAAGGGTTTATCCATCCCCTTCACTAGTTGGGGGGTTGGCAAACTTTTTCTGTAAAGAAGGAGACAGTAAATACGCTTTTTGGGCCACACAATCTCTATTGCAAATCCTCAAGTCTGACACACATAAGTGAAAGAGTATATATGTGCTAGTAAAAGTGTATTTATACAGACAGGTAATGGCTGGCCAGGCCTGTGGGCCAGTTCGCTGAGCCTTGCACTGATTGCTGGACATTTGGGATATTTCCAGGTTTTGGTTAGTGTTATGAATAAAGCTTCTATAGACACCCACAGGCAGATCTTTGTGCAGACATTTCTCTTAGGCATATAGTGCTTTGGTTTTTATTATCTAGTCTCCACTTTCTCTGCATAACAGTTTAGATATATAAACTAATGTTTTTTTAATAGAGCATTAGGGCTGGGCAAAATGGCTCACACCTATAATCCTCACATTTAGGGAGGCCGAGGCAGGAGGATGGCTTCAGGAGTTCAAGGCTAGCCTGAGCAACATATCGAGACTCTGTCTCTACAAAAATATAAAAGACAGAAAAAGTAGCTGGATGTGGTGGCACACATCTGTAGTTCCAGCTACTCAGGAAGCTGAAGTAGGAGGATCCCTTGAGCCCAGGAGTTTGAGGCTACAGTGAGCTATGAGGACACTACTACACTCCAGCCTGGCTATAGAGCAAGACCCTGTCTCTAAAAAAAAAAAAG